AGTAATGGAGGTGATCCAGTAGTAAGCACTAATATTAATTCTCAAGTAGTAACCACTGATTTTATATCCCCAGTAGTAAGGAGCGCTAATAGAAATATTTTGTGTGGAGGGGGGGGGGAGCGGGAAAATAAAGACGGGAAAATGAGAAAAAATTGACACCCGGGGAATTGCCAATAACTTGCGACTAAGGGACTTACCATTAATAGTCCTAATAGCGACTGTCACGCCTACACCATGATGCCGGAAGCAAATGGGAATACGAACATGATTGAGGAGAACTCGACACAATCACCACTCATGCCAATTGAGTACGAGTACACGTACGATTAATCGTAACAATACGTATCATCATACGATTAGCTCAAACCATCGACACCAATTCTGCATTTGGGAAGTTAACTCGTATGAGCCCTTTCGTATTCCATTTTGACGCGTCAGTTTCTATCAACCCCAAAACCTGATTTCGTGAAATCCAAAGATCTCCAAACATTCGCTGCCCATACTTTTTCCCGAGACAATCGCATTGGCATAATTATTATCCATGATGGCGAAGGAAACCGAAGAAGAGACAACTCCCCTGAAAAACGCCCCGGGCGGCATTCTCAAAAAAGACTCGTCATTCAAGAGGACATCGTCGTTCAAGAGGGAAACGTCGTTCAAACGTGAAACGTCATTCAAACTGGATACACCGTTTACGCAAGGCGCCCGTCGAAGGTCGTCAATTAAGTCAATCCACCAGAGAAGGAGTGTTTATGCCGGTGACAGCTATGGGTCGCACGGGCACGCTATCAAAATCAAGAAGGACGTCAACGTGGAATCCCTGACATATGTTGCCGACGAATCGGATGTGTGGAGGGCCCACTGGGCCATCGAGCATTTCATGCTCCGTGGCCATTTTTGGAACCATGCTAAGTTCAAGACCATACAGACGTACTATTGGATCATTATGACGGGGATTGTGCAGGCTGCGATTGCGTACGGAACAAATATCTGTTCAGTGACAATTATTGAAGTGAGTTTTGCACCCCTCTACTTGACGTTTCTCCCTCCCGCCGCTTTTGATTTATGACAGATGCTTAGGAAATCACCTAACCCAAAATATTCGTATGTGTTTCAATCCACAAACCAAACAGATGAAGTTCGACATGACCTCTCGGTTCTTGGAAGAGGGATCGATCCTTCGCGCATTCTTCAGTTTTTATTTAGTTCAGCTTTTCTTTGCGGCAATCGCAGCACTCTGCGTTTACATTGAACCCATATCTGGTGGTTCGGGCATACCAGAGGTAAAATGCTACCTGAACGGAATCGATCTTCCACGCGTTCTTGATGTAAAAACGTTGTTTTGCAAGGTCATTGGGGTGACTTGTTCGGTGTCCGCTGGTCTCCCCGTCGGTAAGGAAGGTCCTATGATTCATTCTGGCGCCGTTGTGGCCAAAATGGTATCCTCCGGAAATGTTAAAAACGACCGCCAGCTTAGAGACCTGGTGACCTGTGGGGCTGCCGCGGGTGTTTGCACAGCCTTTTCGGCTCCGATCGGTGGCATCCTGTTTGCTCTAGAGGAAGGAGCAAGTTACTGGAGTCCATCGGTCACCTGGAGAACCTTCACTTGCTCGATGATTGCCCTAACGGCTCTAATGATGCTGGAGTCTATTGGGATTACTTTTGGAAGGGTTGGTTTCGATAAACTCTTCTCGTTTGGGAATTTCATATTCGAAAAAGGGCAATCCAGCTATGCTATATATGAACTCGGCATTTTCGTTGCAATCGGTGCCGCGGGTGGTCTGATTGGTGCAATTTTCAACGATGTCAACGAGCGAATCACGCACTGGAGAATGAAACATGTCAACACATCCAAAAAACGCCGGTTCATGGAAGTGATGTTGATTTCCACCCTCATGTCCTGCGTTATGTTCTTTTCGTCTTTGGCGTGGCCAATGTGCGCATCGATATCCGACATAATCGAAGAGGAATCGGCTCGACAAAACCTTTACGAGAAGCTAGTTCGATTTCGCTGCGAAGAGGGGGAATACAATGAATTGGCAACTCTCATTTTTGCCGAGCCAGGAGATGCAATCAGGCTTCTCTTTCATCTCCACAAAAACGCCTTCAGCACCTATGCCTTGCTGGCGTTCTTTCTACTTTACATTGGGGTTGCTGTGGTCACCTATGGAATTGCGATCCCTTCGGGTTTGTTTGTTCCGAGTCTGCTCTCTGGGGCGGCATTCGGGCGTCTTTTTGGGAACCAGCTACGGAAACTGTATCCCCACTTGGCATTCAGCAACACTTACTCACTCATTGGCGCGGCCGCAGTTTTGGGAGGGATGGCCCGCATGACCATTAGTCTGACAGTGATTTTATTGGAGTGTACCGGAAACGAACAGTTCGTCCTGCCGCTGATGTTGGTTTTGATGACGGCCCGCATCGTCGGGTCTGTTTACAACGATGATTTGTATCACATCCACATCCACCTGAAAAAGGGAGTGGAGTTTCTCGAAGCCGAATTGACATCCATTACCCTTCACCACAACCTCGTGGCCGGGCAAATCATGGGCGCAAACGTTATTTTCATTCGGCCGGTAGAAAAAGTCGGCGTGGTCTACGACATCCTGATGTCCGCGAAGCACTCAAATTTTCCCGTGGTGGACACGGACGATCGAAACGTCCTCGACGGAACCATCGGCCGCAACACACTCTGCATTCTTCTCAAGGAACGGGCGTTCGGATATCCAATGAACGACACCCACGTTGGCCCGGGAAACCACACGGCCATATCTTCAAACTTTTTGCAGGTCTATGAACGAAAATACCATCCCCTCGTCCAATGGGACGTGCTTTACAGATCCTATCCCCGGTATCCCGACGCGAAAGACCTACGAATCACGGACGAGGACCGCGAGCAGCTCGTCGATCTGCGGCCGTACATCAACAATGCGGCCATCACCGTGCAAGAAACATCTTCAGTCGAGGTACGTCGGAGATTCGTGGAGAGCCTGTTCGGCTCCGGATCATTCCCAATTCAATTTAGTCCAATACTGTGCTATTCCAGCGCTTGTTTCTCACTCCTGCTTTTCGATTTCTGTTCGGCCAATGCTGTGCAACAATGCTGAAATTGTCATGCGTGCGCAGAGAACGTACTCAATGTTTCGAAATCTTGGTTTGCGCTTTCTTCCGGTCGTCAACAAGTACAACCAKGTGGTTGGTACGATTACGCGAAGCGATTTGACGCCGGATGCCCTTGCGGAGACCATGCTGCAAAAAGGAAAGAAACATGAGCCCGTCAACAATGGCAGTTTCATGAGGTGACAGACGCATGCATCGAAGAACGCAATCCCGTTCGAGACCAATACAAGGATGGTACGAACGCGAGCGGGAGACAATAGCTAGAATTCTTGTTTCTTCGATTCAGGGGCAGAATTTCAAAATGAGGACCACATCAACAAATGAATCATTAAAGATTTGCGCAGTCCGGTGTTGCAAGCTAGCAATCGAACCGGACCCACTATTCATTTGGAACAGCCGATTGTGATCGAAATGATCCCATGGTCTTCGCTTGATTTATGTACTATTCATAACATAATAATACCAAGCTGTAGTTAACGATCGATTCATTTGGAATTCTATTCTGGTTCCTAGTTGCTCGTGAGAAAAAAAAAACAGAAGGCCGAACGCTTTGGCGAATCCTTTGGCACCGCCGACTTCCGGACCGAAAAGGTTCGGATCGTTGTTGTTGTTGTTGGCGCGGGCCCCTTCCTCTCCGCGGACTATGCCTCGGAATCTCTGTGCTCGGTCAATGGGCAGCAGGAACCCGATTGAGTTTTTCCTCTTCGGCAGGTTCGCTAGCTACCGGATCTCCGGTATTGCCACACGCGGTCCACGATCGCGGTGTTCCACGGTTTGCGTCGTCCCATGTTCTGGTTGCGGTTGGGGTGCACCCATTTTCCACTGAAATGTCATGTCGGTGTCGTGTGGCAAGACTCTACAAGTCCTTTTTACCATCGGTACCAGGAGAGAACGTCGATCGGTGCTTCTTGTTTGTCCTTGGCATTCTTGTTTTGGATCCGTTCTGTGTTTCACGAAGAACGAAGATTGTTCGTGCTACTGTGCACAAGACGATTGTTAGACGTACATGCAAGATGTGTTGGTGTAAAGCTGGGAGCTGGGACGTGGTCTTGTGAAATAGGTCGTGCATTGTGGAAAACGCAACAAAATACTCGTAATTTTGTGAAAGTTTTTGTTCCTATCGAAATTCCCGTACGTACGGTACCGTACTTACTGCGGAGGTATGTTTGTACGCACTACTTTTATGTTCGTAAACCTCTATGTTCGTACCGTATCTATCCCCCTACCGGTATGTAAAAGCCATACCCCTGACCCCTATCGTAGGTACGTTCATATTGTATCCGAAGACTTGTTCTATTCTCATATCCTATCATACATGTTCGTACGTACTGGTACGTACTTCTAGTTCATAATCATCAATAATTCATACCAACGTGAAGTCCACGGTCGTAGCCGTACGAGTACGAGTATTGTTGTACTGGTACAAAAATGGATCGTTCCCACCATTTTGCATCGCATTGCTTCACGTAATGGCGCAGAAGACTTGTAATCGTACTCGTATCGATAGAGGGGATTCATGATTCATTTCACTTTCGTACTTGACCTTTCCCGCCTTGGTACGAAGTACTGTACGTACGTACTGTGGGATACCAGTTCCTCTAATTGCGCTCAACAACACCCCATCCATCGCAAAGAACGGAACACTAGGAAAAGGCGTCGAGAACAAAACCCTACGAAGGCGAAAGGGCAAGCCCACGGTGTGGTAGAATGGAAAATGTCGCTCTGCCACCACAGCAGCAATCACAGCAGCAGCAGCAGCAGCAACAACAACAACATGAACCACGAGCAACACCGGCAGCCGAGGACGACAACGGTGGCGGGACTACATCGATCGACACCTTTCAGGAATACAAACCCACAGCGCTTCCCCCGATTGTGGTTCGGGCTTGCAACGAATGGTACAGCGGAACCATTGGCAGTTGCAATGGGGAACAATCGAACGCAAACCAAAGCGAAAGGGCAAAGGAAAACGCACACGTCATCGATCTGACCGAAACCGAAACCAAAACCAAAACCGATGCAAAGAGACAGATTGATCCTTCGGCACCAGCAAACGCAACAACAAGCCCAGATCCGAAAGGAGAACAAGAACCAACGCCAACAACTTTAATCGAAGAGAAGCAAAAGGATACCGAGGCCAAGCCCCTGCTTTCACCGACACTGACCGTTCCTTCCCACACCTCGAGTGCCTGCGAATCCGCCTTGCTGTCCAGCGTTGCCGCCCCGATGGTTCCCGAAGAAACCGCCGAGTGCATTCTCCCCCTGCTGGCGCAGACTCCAAGAAAGGATCGCGATCGCGGTCCACCACCCCCTCTGTCCCCGCTCCAGATGGAAGGCGTACTGCTGGCCATACAGCGGCACCGCCGCATCCACTACGACGATGGTCTGCCAAAGCCAAAGCCGCAGCCAGGGCAACCCCCATTGCCGCCCGCGCAATCGGGGAAGGGATCTCCCGGAGCCACCGGGGTCCGCGCCGGATTCTTTCTGGGAGACGGGGCCGGGATCGGCAAGGGCCGGCAGATCGGTGCGATCCTCCGGGACGGCTTTTGCCGGGGCCGGAAGCGCCACGTCTGGCTCTCCGTCTCGCGGGAGCTCATCCTGGACGCCAGGCGCGACCTGGGGGACGTGGGCGTCCACTGTGCGAGGGACGGGGCGGTCTACGACGGGACCCGCTTCCTGGGGGACGGTGGCACTTCGTCGTCGTCGGCCGCCCTGGGCCGGAAGGACCGGGGGGTCCTCTTTCTGACCTACAACCTGCTGGTGAGCGCCAACCGCATCGAGCAGATCATTGCCTGGTGCGCGGGAACGGAGCAGCTCGGGAGGCGCAGAGACGGGGGCGGACGCACAAGCGATGTGCAAAAGCTGGAGCGACGGCGGGCCATGGAACAAGCCTTTGACGGGTGCATCGTCTTTGACGAGGCCCACAAGGCCAAGAACCTCTCGAACAACACCAAGACGGCGCAGCTGGTGCTTCTCCTGCAGAGGCGGCTCCCCATGGCGCGGGTGGTCTACTGCAGCGCCACCGGGGTGTCCGACGTGGAGCAGCTGGGGTACGCGGAACGGCTGGGGCTTTGGAAGATCGGCGGTCCCTCCGGCGTCGGGTCCGTGCTCCCGAACGCCACGCCAAGCGGCGATTCCTCCGGGGGACGGTTCTCGGACTTTGGAGCCTTTTGCGGGTCCCTCGAGCGGCGGGGCCTGGGCTCCCTCGAGCTCCTGGCCCTCGAGCTCAAGACCCGGGGATCCCTCATGGCCCGGACCCTTTCCTGGGAGGGGGCCGAGTTCCAGACGGCCGAGGTCCCCCTCGATGCCCGCCAGCGCGGGGTCTACGACCGGAGCGTGGCCTGGTGGAACGCGGCCCAGGCCGATCTAAGGGAGGCCCTGGAGCTCCTCTCGTCGCTGCCCGCTTCGGCGGCGGATTCCTCGCAGGGGGTGGCGGCCTTGTCGCGGCAGATCTGGGGGACCTTTTGGGCGGCCCACCAGCGCTTTTTCAAGGAGCTGGCCATTTGTGCCAAGGTCCCCTTTCTGGCGAGGGACGCCCTCGCCCAGATCCAGATGGGCCGCTCCGTGGTCTTTGGGCTGCAGGGAACCGGGGAGGCAGGCATGCAGACCCTGCTGAAGGGGCTCGCCGGCGATGCCGGAAACAACAATCTCTTTCCAGAGCTCCTCTCCACCGCGGAGGCCTGCCTGACCGGTTTTGTGGGACAGCACTTCCCGGTCGCCCCTCCCCCACCGGAAATCCCGTCCCTGCCGAGCGAGCCCCCCAAGGACGAGGCCGATCGCCACCGAAACTCCGCCATCCGGGCAAGCATCGAGAGGCTCTCCGGGCTCCCCCCGCCCGAGCCGATCCCCGAGCTGGTGGCCAAGCGGGAGCGGCTGAAGGAGGCGGTCCGCCACATCGGGCTGCCGCCCAATCCGCTCGACGACCTGATCGACCGGCTGGGCGGAACCGACAAGGTGGCCGAGATGACCGGCCGGTCCGGCCGCATGGTCCGGGTCCGAGGCCAGCCTTCCGCCGGCTTTTGCTACTCGAAACGTTTGGCGGTCGCCGCCAGGGGCAGGGACGGCCCCGCGGTGAACAGGGGGGAGGACGCGGACCGGACCAACACGATCGAGCGGCAGAGCTTCATGGACGGCACCAAGCCCGCGGCCATCATCAGCGACGCGGCCAGCACGGGGGTCAGCCTCCACACGGCGTGTGGGAGCAGGGCGAGCCACCGGCGACGGGTCCACTACACCATCGAGCTGCCCTGGTCGGCCGACAAGGCCGTCCAGCAGCTCGGGAGGTCCCACCGCAGCGGCCAGGAATCGGCGCCGATCTACAAGCTGGTCGTCACAAACCTCGGGGGGGAGCGGCGGTTTGCGGCCGCCGTCTCGAAGCGCCTGGCGAGCCTCGGGGCCCTGACCAAGGGGGACCGCAGGGCCGCCACCGGTGCGGACCTGTCGGATTTCGACCTGGACAGCAAGTACGGCAAGCGGGCCCTGAAGCGGTTCTACCGTGCCCTGCAAGAAAACGAGGCCACCGGGGGCGAATCGTCGTCGTCGTCGTCGGCAGTGGGGATCCTTTCCTCCGGAAACGAGGGCGTTCGGGCCATCGTGGAGCAATTTCTGAGGGAGAGCCGGGAAGCCGGCGACGCCCGGCTCCTGAAGAGCCTGCCGGTGGACGACGAGAAACTAAGGCACGCGTGCGTTCTCTCGATCGCGGTGGCCGAGCTGGACCGGATCGGCGTGGACCGGGAGGCGAGGTCCAAGGCGGACGTCCGGGTCTTTCTGAACCGGATCAGCGGCCTGGCGGTGGCGAGGCAGTCCCTGGTGTTTTCCCTCTTTCTGTCGGCGCTGGAACGGGTCGTGAAGGAGGCAAAATCCTCCGGCGAGTTCGAGGGCACCGCGGAGGACGTGACGGCGACCAGCATCGAGATCGGGGGGGAGAGGATCCTGGCCATCGACCCGTCCTCCGGGGCACCCACCAAGCTGACTACCCTGGTTCTCGATCGAGGAATCCCGTTCCGGGCCGTCCGGGACATGGCCCTCCGGGAAGCCCAAAAGCTCGGCCGAGAAGACGAAGACGAAGAGACTCGCGCACAAGAACCCCGGGTAGATCCCGAAAAGGAGAACAAAGAAGACGGCTTTATCGTCCTCGACGGCGAGGGAGACCAAACGAGCGACGACGAGGAAAACACCGAGTGGACGACAAGGAGATCCGTGCCCAAGAAAAAGCCCATTGCGGAACCGGGCTTTTACGTTTCCAAGAACAAGATCCGCGGGAGGTACCTGGTTCTCTTTGCCAGGAGAAAGTTTGACCGGTCCGTCTTCAAGACGGAAGACGAGGCCGCCGCCCTGGATCCCCTGGGATTGATGCAGATCGTCCGGCCGAACACGGGGACGAGCCTCACCGACAAGAGCACGAGGGACCTCCACCAAGCGTACAGGCTCGTCCTGGCCTGCCGGGACCTCCGTGACGGCCACGTGGCATCGGCCACCGAACCGGAGAAGAGCCACCTGGCCCGCTCCGTCCAGACCGTGAAAACCTCCTGGAGGACCGCCTTTCGGGAATCCAACGGCTTTGGCCACGGCAAGGGCCTCGCCCCCCGCCGCCAAGAGGTGTCGCTGGTGAACGGCCCCGTCCTCCACGTGCTGCCGGCCCTCGAGAAGGCGGTCCGGATGCGGTCCGAGCCACAGCGGGCCCTGAAGATCGTCCGGGCCAGGGTCGGGAGCCGGCGGATCGTCGGGGTCCGGTTTCCCTCGGACGACGAGGCCACGAGGGCGCTGGGGGCCGAGCTCGATGCCCTGCGAAGGGCCCGGAAGGGTGTCGGCAGGGGCTTTGCCGACGAGGACCTGGCGCCGGTCTGTCCCCGGACGATGGCGTGGGCAATTACCGAGCGCAAGACCATGAAGAGCTTTTTTGGGGTGGCGGGTCCGGGGCCTTGCCACCGCCCCCTGGATCCGAACCGCGGGAGCGGGGGCACGAGCGCCAAAACCACGGCGCCGGGGGCTCGTTCCGGGAGGAAGCGCGGCGGCGGCGGCTCCGACCGATGCCCGGCCGGGAAGAAGGCAAAACCCTCGACGCTCATGTCGTATTTTTCCAAAAAGAAAAAATGACTCCGTCCGTCCGACGCTATACCAACGATTGTGTTAGAGCGAAAAAGTTTCGAAACCGATCTTTCGGATTGGCAATCACCGAATTACTAAACAAAACTGCATAGAGTAGAATAAAATGTCCCATGCGGCATACATCGACAGGAGGATCCTTCCGTCCAGTGGTAGCCCTAATAATTCTTGCAGTTTTTCCCGCGCGGGAGGGGGTGCGATTGCTGCCTCGCCGTCTTATCCTCCATAGCTTGCATGCAATGCTGGCTTTGGCGCCATCCCGTGACACGAGCGCCTGGCCTTTCTCTTGTTCCGTCCATTGTGTATTTTTTTTTCCTTTCTAGGCACTTGGAAGGGCCTTGCACGCGTCGTGGGCCTCCCCTGGACACCAAAGGAATCGCAACGCTGTGATGCATTGCATCAAAGGGCACACCGGTTCATCGCATCGCATCGGATTGTATTGTATTGTATTGCATTGCATCGGATTGTATCCCCTCGTTTCGCCTCTCGATCCATCGCTGGCTGGACAGGCTAGCACCTCCGGAAGCAGCAACAGCAGCAGCAGCCTCCACCACCGCGTTGGCCACTCGCCTCGGCACCGAGGGGTTCCCCCCGGCTTTCTCCGCCACCGGGGCCGTTCTCCGGAAGCAGAAGGCGGGTCGCCTCGGTGGGTTCTGTTTCTGTTTCCCCCCCGCTCTGTCCTTCTTCGCCGGCCCCCGGCACAAGAACCGCGAGGGCCTCCAAAGGGGGCAAGAAGGGAACCGAAAAGGCCTCGCCGGCCCGGACCCCGCCCTCCGGAACCACCGCCGCAACCACCAAGCCGTCGCAGAAGACGTCTAGCTCGTAGCCCCCCGGCAGGTCGGAGGGGGCCAAGAGTTGTACCCACCGGACGGCGGGGGTTTCGCCGGTGTCGGTGTCGCTGTCGCTGTCGCGTCCGGGGGGGAAGCCTTCCCGGCTTCTTCCGCCGCCCGGGCCGTCTCTGGGATCCGGGGGAACCGGCATGGCACGGCACGGGGGAGGGGTGTTGAGTCGGGGGTGTCTCTTTCCGTTGGGAGACTGGTTTGAAAGGTGGCGTGGGGTGCGGCACGGCGGGTCACCAAACAGAGAGACAGTTCCAGAGACGATGAAACAGTTTCACAACGAGGCCAAACAAATCCATCGTTCTCGCAAAATCAGGGATGCGGCTTTGAGTTTGCGACTTACGATCTTTTTGGCATGTGGAATTATTAGAAGAAAGAACAGTATATAAATTGAAATTATACTTTCAAAGGAGCAATTCAGTCCGATTGGTCTAGAGGCATGATTCCTGCTTTGGGTGCAGGAGGTCCCGGGTTCGATTCCCGGATCGGACCTTTTTGTAATTTTTCGTTGCTTTGTGCCCTACCGGTACTCGTACCCGGTATGTTCGAGCAGCAATCGTAGGAATCGTAGGAAAAGTCATTTCCCAACGGCCTCGGCTCAAGTCGATCTGTAGTGTAGGCAAGCGTACGCGACGCTAAGTACTTGTTACCGATACATCCAGGACTACGGTACGAAATTTAAGTACGTACAGTATTTGCTGGAGTCGTACTACAGTATCCACAGAACAACAACAACAACCACGATCCTCACTAAACTAAACCAAACCAAAGCAGAACGCAACGCAACGCAACGCAGCGCACAACGCAACAATCATTCCAGAGGGGATAGACGGATGGATAAATCTGTGACAGGGTCGAGTGATTGAACGAATCGAATCCTACGTACCTGCATTTCACCGCATCGCATCGCAACACTCGAGTGACGGTCCTCGCCATTCGGTGGCGTCGATGGTGTGATCGGTTGCCGCAACGGTTGCCGCAACAGCTCCCGCACGTTCTCGGGGCAAGAAACCGCGCAACGCCGTGTCGATCGAGTGAGAAGCGGCGGGGTAACAAAACAAACGCAACAACCACCGCCAACACAAACGCCAACACCAACCCCCGCGGCACAACATCCCGGATGCAAAGGACACCCGCGGTCCGGCGGACCGCTGGCCGGCCCCCGGTTCGTAACGGGCCGGCAGGGGACGCCCGTGCACACGCACACGCGAGAAGCCCCCAAGCAGGGGCCGCCGCCCGGGAAGGCCGAAAAGAAAACTCTTCGAGGCCGGCGATGCTCCGGGCCCTCTTCGCGGCCTTGCTGTGCTCCTACCTGGGGCTGCTGCAGAGGCAATGGCAGTGGCAGTCCCCGTCGTGGGCGCGCTACGGTCCCGGCTCCGAGAGCAGATCCACGAGGGCCGCGTTCGACCGGGCCGTGCGGCCCAACGCCACCACCTCGGCCTGCCTGATGGTCTCGGACGACAACCACTTCCTGGCCGAGTGGATCGCCTACCACTACCACGCGGCCAACCTCCGCCGGCTGGTCGTCCTGGTCGACCCCAACAGCCGGACCTCCCCGCTGGGGATCCTTTCGGGATGGAAAGACCGGCTGGTGGACGGCCTGACGGTCTGGAGGGGCGAGGAGGACTACGCCAACAAGGTCGTCCCGAACGAGTTCGAGACGGCGATGCGGTGGGTGGAGCGGGAGTTCACCGAGACGACGCCCGGCCTCGTCGAGCACCGGGCCCGGCAGCGGCTCTTCTACACCCACTGCCTCCGCCTGCTCAAGCGGGAATCCGACCGGGGGCGACCGGGAGGGGCGAGCCCGGGGCAGGGTTCGTCGTCGTCGTCGTCTTCTTCTTCGTTCCGGTGGACCCTGCTGGTGGACGTGGACGAGTTTGTCCGCGTCCACCGAGCCAACCGCACGGCGGCCGGAAGCACCGGCGCGGAGGCTTCGGACCCCTTCTCCCTGCCGGCGGCGGGAACGGCCGGGTCGGTCGCTTCCGTCCTGGAGCTCCTAGCCCGGCCCGACGCACGGGGAGGCCCAAGGGCCCAGTCCTCCCCGTGCGTGCCCCTGCCGCGGGTCCGGTTCCTGCCGGACCCCATGGAAACCGAGCGCGGCAGCAGCCAAAGGCGGCCCCTCCTGGCCACCCAGCGGGACACCCTCCACGCCCCGAGCGGCGACTTCCGGACCAACAAGATCGCCAAGGCAATCATCGACCTGGCCCGGATCTCGGTCGCGGACATTGCCCCGGTCGACAGCATCCACCTCCCGGTCCGGAAGCACTGCCAAAAGTCCGGCCTCCACCTGGCCCACTCGGAGGCCCTCCTGGTGGCCAACCACTACCTGGGGAGCCTGGAGGAGTTCACCTACCGGGAGCACGACGCCCGGGGGGGAGGGGCAACGGCAACAGCGGCAGAGGCAGCCACCACCACTGCCAACCCTTCCGCAACGGCACCGGAGGGCTCTCGCAGGCGCAGGGCGGGCCACCGCCACAAAACCCCCGGTCTCAACGCCCGCACCGCCGACGCCTTTCGGGCCCAGACGAGGGACTCCCACCTCCTCGAAACCGACGACGAGATCCGGCCCTGGCTCGGTGCCTTCCTGGGTGGCAGCGGCAGCGGCGGCGGGGACGACCCCGCCCGGGCCGCCCTGCTGGAGGCCGCCGGGGTGCTGGCCCCAAAGTCGTGGCACCCGCTCGCTCGGAACGGGCTCGGAGAGGAGCGCTGCGCCCTGCTGTTTTTCGGCCTGACCCGGTCCTTCGGGGACCTGGTCCTTCCGAGCCTGGTGAAACACGTCCTGGAGCCCAACGCCCGGCACGGCTGCGACGTCTACGCCCATTTCTACACGGCCGACTCCGAGCCGCCCGGCCGGAAGAACCCGGGGGGGGACCTCCGGCCCTCGGAGATCTTCTGGCTGGAGGACGCCGCCGTGGAGGTCGCCAGGAGGCACTACGAGGAGGTGGTGGAACGAGAGGAAGGCGTCCTCCCGCCGAACCAACGCACCGGCTTTCGGCCCCCCACCGTGGGATTCACCCACGACACACCGGACGAGTTCCTCCTGCGCCGGTCGGAGGAAATCGACCGGTTCCGCGAGGCGACCGCGGAGGTCTCGATCGAAAACCAAACCAGGATCGTTCCGGCTTACTTTCCCTGGAAGGCCAGGACCTACACCAACACGAGCCTCGACAACATCGTCGGGCAGTGGCACTCCATCCAGTCCGTCTTCAAGCTGATGGACTACACCGCAAGGGCGAAGGGCTTTGCCTACGGCCGGGTGGGCATGTTCCGATCCGACGCCCTCTACGTCACCCCCATCGACATTGCCCGCCTCGGCGGGACGGACCGCTACGACACGACCAACCGCTGCTTTGTCACCCCGTCCTTTGCCCTGCAGCCGGTCAACGACCGGATGGTCTACGGGCCCTACGGAGCCGTCAAGATCTGGGCCACCAAGCGCTTCGACCTCCTCGAAGACCGGGCCTCGAAACAGACCGATCCCGGCTGGATCCTCCACCACGAGCGCTTTCTCAACGCCAGCGTCTTTCCCGCCATGGAAGCCGCCGGCTACGAACACTCTCTCGAGACCAACGGGATCTGCTCTCTGAGAACCCGGGCGGACCGCTCGGCGGTCCTCTCCGACTGCTCCACCGACGGACTCCTCCCGACCCACAGGGCGACCTTCTGGAACGACCCGGGCGAGGCCGCCGAAAGGGCCCGGCTGGCCGCGGTCGAGTCGATCGTCGGCAGGAAGTGCTCCCTGGAAGACCGCGGAAGCAAGTGGAAGTTTGCGGTCTGCGGAGAAGAACGACCGGCCTCCTGACACCAGTGACCAGAAGCCGCCTCTGGTACCGTGCAGTTTTTGCCGGGACGAACGGACGAAATAGAGAGAGGCGATAGATTCTGTGATGATTCCTTCGTATTTCGAATAACAGATTGCTAGATTCTAAATGCAAATGCAATGTAAGCCGGAATTGAGGTGAAAAACAGCTTTGATCTATAGGGTATTGGTTTGTTCTATTTCACTTTGTGGCATGTTGCGATGAGAGTTGCGACTGCGCAGTCGTCGCCATTCGTCCGTCGTAATTTCAATCGAATGGCGGTGCAGCAGATATATCGTCCATGAAGTCATCAGCGCATGATGCGTTTGTGTACTGCAGCATATGGTGTCATAGCAATATACAGGTAGTCGGCGGAGTTAACATTTACTGGAGTATCCCTGGACCTCGGCGTCATGCAGCCACTTGAACAAGTCCACTGTCTCGGTCTCGTAGAAAGGTGTGTTCTTGGGAAGGCACGACACAGCCAGTAGGTTTTCGGTCGAGAGCGACTTTCCGGGTACAAGCTTGACCGTTTGGTGGCCGGGACGGTTGTCGTCGTAATAGAGGTAGACGTCGACGGGCATTGCCTTGAATCCCTTCGGGATATCGTAGAGGGTGACCTCGCCGTTCATTAGGTATGCCTGCTTTACAAACTGACAAAAACCGTTGCAATAGTTTTTGCGGCCGAGCACTCCCGCGGCGCAGTTGCCGATCAGGACGTTTCGGCCTGCATTGCGCTTGAACTTGAACCCGGCGATCTTCTTGCCGTTGCCCGCGGTCCAGCGGCCCACGACGGCCATGCCATGGAGCTCGGTCTTTGTAAAGTGTTCAACCAGGCGACCGGACGAGTCTGGCTCGTAGACGAGGTTGCAGACACCACCCTCCGGGATGGGTTCTCCCAGGGTCCTCTCCGACAATCCCTTTTGCATCGCTGGCTTCTCGGAAAGGGCTTTGCTTGGAACCATGGGAGCTGCTGTCACGCTGGTGTTACTGAAATTCGACGAGTTTTCTTGATCCATCGAGAGGGGCTTTTTCGGAACCCGAGCGTTGCTCGAGGCTTCGAAATTCTTGTTGGGTGCCGAGTTTTCTTGATCCTCCGGAAGGACGATGGATCTCTTCGAGGTTGCCGGAAGGAATGAGGAACAAGGTAGCTTCTGGGAGGGGGCGATTTTCAGCTTGCGGTTTTCCATCGCATCGCTCCGGTAGCTGTTTGTGAAAGTACCTCCGTTGTAGATTCTCATTTTGAAATTGTTAGTTGTAAGATCAAAAATTAGTTCCTTGAACCGCGTTGTTGATGTTGTCCTTTTGGATGTTGTTATCGAGATCGATTTCGATTTGTGAAGTATGATGTGCGACGTCGGCGTTTTGTTCTTATTCTGTTGCTAGTTCGTTGTGTACGGGTACGAATCGCATCCTACACAGTTTTCGTCGTTGCGTTTCAAGTTTTTTGATCTTTGTCGTGTCTCAACATCAAGACCGCTTCGGCAAAAAATCGTTGGCGATTTGGGATTTTGGTTTTTGAAACGGCTAGTTTGGTTTGTTTAGCTAGTGCCCGTACGTTTCTAAGAGATGCTTATTCGTACTGTATCCTACGAAGTTTAATTAGTCAAGACGTGTTACAGAACCTTTTTCCCGACTCCCGTGATTCAAAATTATGAAGCGGATTCGACGAGCCGAGAATAATTTATTGACTCATTGGACTCAATAATGTCAAATTTAACTGTCGTAGTGCCGTAGACCTTAGAAGTCAATGGAGGCGATGAAATACGTACCGTGCGTACGGTTCCGTACGAGGCAACATGGTACGGTGGCGATAATTCATCCACCCATTACCACCACCACTATTTCGTATTTTCTGTTCCAACTGTACCGGTACATTGTAGTTGTTCGTCCTCGAACAATCGAACCCATTGCTGAAAGGACGACACATCGGTGCACTTGATTAGAATTCCAGGCTTTCTATGATTAAGGCTACCATTATCGGGACAACACGCCGCCGAATACTTGCCATAAACCTCCAGTGGTTGGTTCCGGGTTTCTTTTCGATTTTTTGCGTGCTTTCCAGCTTTTTGGCAACCGGCACCGTTGCATTCCAACTGCGACACGGGCGACCCGCTCGGGTGGGTGTCGCAAGAACGAACATCAAGCTTGCTGCCAAGGCATCAAAGGAAAAGATCGGCTACAACGACGACAAAATGGTGGCCGAGAACGACGATGTGTTCGTCACGGATTTGGCAAGATACGCCATAAAAGGATTTTCCGGCGATCTATTGGACTCCGTGCTCATACCCGGAGGAGGCGTCCAGACATTTCCAGACGATCGACGCTATGCATTGTTAAAGCAAAAAAACAAAGAAAAATTCGATGAGAAAAGTCCGGAATGGCTTCACAAAGAAAACTTTTTGTGTGCATTCTCCGCCCCGGAGCTCATGGCAAGCTTTCGAAGCCACTACGAAATCGTGGAAGAACAACAGGAGAACAAGAGTGATGATGGCGTCGCTCCGAAAGTATGCATACGAAGACTGCTTACGCTATATCGACGTAGTGGTGAGGATGACAATGATGCCGCTTCCGAGGAAAAACCGGTGCTTGGACCGATTGATTTGAATACACAATCCGGCAGAGAGGCATTGGCTTCTTTCTTTTCATACGAGTCCAACGAAGATCTGGTTTGCGTCACAAAAGAAACCGATGGAAAGGTCAATACCTTCCAGTTCGGGAATACGAGAGCAGGAGTAAAGAACAACCCCGGCGGGGACACTCGAACCGTACACATCGTCAACAGAGCCACCGTTCGCGAATTTTCGAACAAAATTGGTCTGGAGTTGAACCCGATGAGGTTTCGCCCCAACATCGTCATCGATGGATTGGGTCCGTGGGAGGAATTCGATTGGGTAGGGCGCACGCTGCGCATCGTGCCAAAAGAAGAAGGCGACAACGATGAAAATGCCTCGGGTGTGCAGCACGCCGCTCATCTTCGGCTGAAGGTCCTCACCAAGACTGTGAGGTGTGAGGGCATTGGAATCGATCCCCTGGATCCAAAGACGGGAAAGCTCGACATGCCCAAGCTCTTGAGTGAGAATTACCCCGAGCACGGTCCCTACTTGGGAGTATATGCCAGTATCGAAGTAATCGGCGCTGAACAAGGGGGTTGCAGTGGTGATATTGACAAACTATTGTCAGTGGGAGATACACTTTCATTATTGGACGAAGATAACGTGTAGCGCTTGTAATAGTAGACAACATCGTAATGAAACAGAAACAATGCCACGTACGTATTTGGTACAAGGATTGTCAGCTTGAGGGGTTTCGGTTATTCCGTGCCTTGTCTTAAGACCCCCATAAGGTGATTTATGTTCTACTCTTAGTCGTGTAATTGCTGCATTGGAAGTGGATCATTTCGGTTAAAGCTTGGGAAAGGACAAGGATCACGTTTGAATCGCGCGCCAACCCAGTGGATAGGAACCGTCATCAATGTCGAAAGCATGGAGAGTACTCTTACTGCCGTCTGCCGTACAGTACATCAATGTAACAATCAACTATCATTTTTCAGAATCCCAAACGGGAAACACGGGAATGAATCGGTCCCAAATCCCTCAGTATTTATCTACCGATACTTCGTAGTAATGTTTCTACTACAATTTTGTTTTGGTCTAGTACGTACTTGGGTACGTAGCTTCTACCTACCTCTACTTCAAAACAAATCGAATCCCCGATGCTTCTATCGCCCAACAATTAAAAGAGTTTCAGCCAAGGTAGAAAACAAGGGAGTTCGGTGCATTTGATTGCAACTCCAGGCTCTCTATGACTACCGCTACCATTTTCAGGGTAAACCTCCACGGGTTGCTCATCGGCTTTTTCTCGCTATTTTGTTTGCTTCCCGGCTCTTCGCGTGGCGTAGCACAAGGCACCGCAACTGGAACCGCTGCATTCCAACCACCACACGAGCGATCCTCTTGGGCAAGTTCTGCAAGGGCAAACGCCCACACCGAACTATCTGCCAAAGGATCGAAACCGAAGGCCAGCTATAACGATGACGACACAATGGTAGCACTCCTGCATTCGCACCACCTTCTCGACCACAAACCCGACAACCTGCTGCTCAGGGGAGGAAGATACAAACTCCGCGGGGTAGCCTTCCTCGGTCGTCCGGGGGTTGCCCTCTGCATCGGACCCCCAAAGGCCCACACAAAATTCAAGAGGGCCCTGGAATCGGCCATGCCCCAGAAACGATTCAAGACGAAGGACCTGGAGATAACTCATCCGGAAGGAGAATTTTTGGCCATGGAGGGATTCTCCAGGGCCGAAACGCTGGGCGACTTCCGCGCCATCCTGGCGTCGATCGGCAGGGAGGCCGAGTTTTTCGAGCTCACGGGGATCGAGGATCCGAATTCGTCGTCTTCGTCGCCTCCGCCGCCCAATGATCAAAGCAATGAACAGGCAACGGGGAGAAAGTGTGGCCGGAGAGGGAAGAACAAAAACAGGAAAGGACGAAAGTAATACAAGACGAAACACACGGGGTTTGCTACAGCGATCGGTACAATGGACGATATTTATTATAATGTTGAAAACAATCATCGGACATCACAATCATGCATTGTACTTTTGGTACGGAGATACTTTGATGGGCTTTTGACTTGAGAATCCACCTCTCCTGAGCCACCGACAGCCACAGGTGTTAGATTTCCAGAATCGGGAAGATGCCAACGAGTTTCTCAATTATTGAACATGTGTGTTCGGGATCCGTATGAGAGTGGATTTGTCTTCCCATGAATCTCTTTGGCCACGCTCAGAATCCGCTGTATAAGGGTAGGTTGTTGGAATTTGAATTCTTGGAATTGATTACAATTGTAACAGTATTGATAAACTGATGTTTACGTTGCTCCTATTTAATGATGGGTAGTCTCGAATGCTCCTGCCATCCCTAATTCATGCATTCACCTACGTTTTGGTTAAGACTAACTCTATTGAACGTTGATGTTGAACTTAATACAAAAGCCAGAGAATTGTTACTGATTTAACTTACTAGTAGAAGTAGTAGCATTGATTCCAATAGCTAGTCTCTTGAAGAAAGAATGACAGCAGTCCCCCAGAAAAATGTGAGAAAGAAGTGACAAGATTCATGCCTACATACATTAGTAGCAAATAGGATAATCCATAGTAGTGCCTATTCTTCACATTCTTGTTCTTATCCTCTTGAATTATGACAGCAGAAAGCAGATACAGCAGTCATAACAAACTATGACAAGTAGGATATAGAATAGAATACTAAGAATAGTTCCTCTAGTACACTAGTGGTAATAGCAGCAGGAGCACATGAAAAAATATTGTAATAGAGAGGAGGAAAAAATTTAATCTGGCATGATGGCCCATTAAATTATTTGAGTTAATCCATTAGATTGTGGACAATTGGTTCTGAACTAAGAACCAATAAACTATCAGCACTTGTTTATCACTCTTCTATCCTGATACTAATTTATTCCCTGCCTGAAGTCTTTGAAATGCCTCTATTCTAGGACTTGTTCTTGCAATCATGGTGAAGAAGAAGTAGTGGAATATCAAAATGACCAGTATGACTGACCTTGAAAGTAGTAGTGACTCAAAATCAAATAACAGATTACTATGGGGTTGCACTACCACTGTGGTAGGATTGGGTAAATACAGTCCAAATGACATCAAAGTAGTAGGCCAAATAATAGTAGGGTAGTATTGTTATCTCTCTGTACAATGGAATTGAAACAGGCTGGCATAATACAATTGCTGGTTATATTACCAGTGTTGCTTTGTGTTTCAATAATCTAAATGTTTTGGGCACCAGACACCTTTTCAAAGAAAAAGACTTGCTATGCAACACTCTCTGCCTCTAATAATATTGATGGTACCCTTCTTCATACTATAGTCTACTAGGATATGTGATTCCAACCTTTGTAATAGTACTACTTGATGTCCCACTTCTTAGTAGTAGTAGTAGTAGTACAGGAATACCAACAAACTGAATATTATTTGAAATAGCAAGAATTTATTTGACTCAATGATAATATTAGAATTCCTCAAAACCATTACTACTAAGCAACCAGCCATAAGAAGAATTGTTTAAATATTGGTGACGCTGAGAGGATGTTACTACCAGAAACAGTAATAATAGTAGTAGAGAGGCACATGACTCTTTGTGGATGCTTGATCACCACAAAGACATAAGTAAAAGAAATTTTCTCAGCCTAGGAGGTATGAGCAACAAAAATCTTCCCCTTTACTACAACAAAATGTGAAATAAAGAAGAAGTAAAACAATATACACTAGCAAGGAGTGATTTCTGATACGAGCTATGTGTCTCTAACATGTAATTTTACAATAAGATAAAAAAATTACAAAGAATTTTGTTTCAATTTACAGTTCTTGTTTGCTGGTACCACCACCAGTAATGAGTTTTGCTACCAATTCAGAGTCAGCATAGAGGTGCATCCATGCACAATCAAATATCACACTGGAAAGACTAGTATGTACAAGTCTGAAGAAACCCTTGTTGTTGTTGTTATTGACAGCAACAGAGTTCTCCCTTGTCCTTCTCAGCAGCTGGAGCTCTGATTGAAAATTTTTCACACTTGCAACTAAGAATACTACAAGAAAGACAAGCTTCTTGATTTGTGTTCAAAAACAGATTACTTGAGTTAGTTGATTGAGTGCTGCCATCATGTCTCCCCAAACTCAGATTCTTGACTTCCACCGATTCTTGCCTAACACTTTCCAGTGGTACAGTTAAATTGGCTATGATGCACTTGACTACATGGGAGCCACTGACCATGAAGAATTCTCACTGCAATGGACTTTGGTAATGACTGGTCATTCCAAAATCAAACTGATTATTTTACATGAAACAGAATCCCATTCCTTAGACAAGGAGATAAAGTCTGTCACAAGCCATACAACCAACAAAACAGAAAAGGTCTCAACCCCACCAAGACTAGATAAAAATTATATGAGCATTGTTTTATAATGTTAATGTTACAATTTTTTAATGGAAATACTTGTTGTGGACAAGCAGAAGCATTATGGAAGCCAGAACCATCACTTTTTGCTGGGAGAAGGTTGTTTCTACTACTAGTAGTTAGTACTGTGAAATGGGACTCCTGGAGGAGCATGAGTGAGGTAGGAAAGATGTACTAAGGTATGCTGGAATAAGTTAGAGTATTGTTGTCTGTTTTTGGAGGATGTATCACAGATCAGCATATCTTGAGTGATGCTTTCCACTGGTTCTTTCAATTTAGTAATTAATAGTAGACAGAGGAAGTACTGTGTAATCAGATTGGTATTGGTAGTGGTGAAAATAGCAGTTGCAGCATCTTGCATTCTCTTGTATGGAAGGCCTGCTCTTGGAAAACCGTGTGACCATCCAAGAAAAAATTGTTGCTTTGTTCCAACAGAGGAACCAATTCATGAGCACAAAAAAAATCAAACAAGGAGGCTCCTAAAGCCCAAGGAAAATGAACCTGAAGTGAGATCTGGTCCAAAAAAGATGGTGCCAGAGAGTGCTGGTCTGTTAGTAGTAGTACTGGTAGTGTTTTGTCAGACAGAGACTCTTCATGGAGTGTTTTTCTGGAGTAAGACAGCAAGTGTCAAACCATTCTGTAATACAGCTGATCAAGGTTTCAGTAGAAATAGATAGGGGGGATCCAATAGTTGTCATTGTCTTCTTGAAAGATAGTAAGATAGTCCAATGTGAGGAAAGTCAACTGGCACGAGAACAGTGGAGGATATGGATACTGTTTTTCTGATGGGAGTATACTAGACAACATGAGTCACCATGAAGTTGATACTAGTAGTACTATGGTTTCTTGAGAACTGTAGCATCACCAGTTGGTATGATGACATTGCAAAACTTTGTAAGCAGCAGATAGCAATACTGGGAGACTTCTACTAACAACCTAACCTTGAGGACTTTACTTGTCCACTTAACATTAATTACTTGTCCACTTAACATTACTAGTAGTAGTACCAGAGCATTACTAGCGCTCATGTTCCTACAAACACCACATCATTCAGGACAAGCATGGTGGTGGTTAGTAAAATGGAAAAGTTAGTACTACTTACATGTTTCTCACCATATTTGTTTCTGCCCAACTAAACTAGAATGGGGGCAAACCACCACCTTTTAGCAGGTGAGTGGCCAGCAAAACATCTAACAAAGTCAAAAGTCGTAAAACTGGCTCTTGTTTGGAGAGCAAGGGTAAGTAACCATTTCTTTTCTTACACAGGAGTAGGTGTGTACAATAGCACCCAGAACATCCATACTAGCTGAATAAGAAACAAATTAATAGACAACTACTAGCAAGAATACTTCAAGAAGCACTGCCTTTCCTCTAAAGTGGTAAATGCTGATTTCAGGAATTCTTGCTGCTGGCAACCTATCTGAGGACACTCTTCCACAAAGTAACCAGACAAAGTCTATTCAAGTGTTAGTATAGCAGATGGGAAATTTTTGTAGTGATCAGCACCATACAATTGCACTAAAGCATACTGCTGAAGTCAACACCATCATCATCAACAGTAAGTGCAAGACCAAGAGCAAGAGTAAACAAAGACAGCAGTTCAATAGATGCAAGAAAAAGCAAGGAATCAGATTACAACCATGTCAAAACATCCTTCAAAAATACTCTACTACTACTACTACTACTAGTACTACTACACAAAATCTTTGAGAGATGAGTGGGTGCTACTTTTGAACTATTAATGGATGTGTTACCAGTCTGTGCTACTTTTGAACTATGATGAATGTGTTACTAGTCCTACTAGTAGTAGTTTGTTTACTTATGAACTTTAGCAAGAGATCCTTCAGGAGATTAGAATCAGCAGTTAACAGACAGACATGCAACAACACTGTGTTGCAACACCAACACATTTTGGTTCATAAAAATGCTGAAAACACAGAAATTGTGACAGATCTATCATTACACAGGATCCAGCATTTCTGTTGATGAGATATAAATTGGGCTGGCAGTACTAGTAGCATCAAACAGTTGGAAACATTGAGCGAGTATCTGAACTTATTACTAGGTGACAAGCCATAAGAGCATCCGCCACCGGCGCCCCCGCTCTGTGGATCCCTGCTAGGCATTTTACCATGGCGAAATCCGGCGAGGTTCTGGCGGGCTCCGGATCGGGAGGGACCAGCGCCGACCAGATTGGCACAAAGCCCAATGCGAACGATCCTGTGCCCACCAAATCAATGGTTAGCTCCCTCGAGAGCAGCGCCGAGACCCTTGCCCTCGATTCGGCTGCCCTGGCACTCGCGACGGCTTCCGTGCTCCTGGCATGCTTAGAGAAGATAGAAACCGGAAGAGCACAAGACGCACCATTGCCACCATTGTCACCAGCACCAAGAACAAGAATCAGATGGAACACGAATGCACTACTTATTTTGCTGTCACACGTTGTTAGTATTTCTTTTTTCTATAGCAATTACAATTCCATTGGTCGTATTTTATTTGTACAGAATGAAACGAATGGTGTGTTTGGTGTGATTGTGTTTTGTGTCTAATGGTCGCAGAGTGGATGGTTCGTTTCGCACGACGAAAATCAAAGGGTGCAAGCCCCCTTGTTCCCCGTCGCTGAGTTGCCTTCGTGTTTGGTCGGGTCGGCGCTCATCAAAATTGGAAATCAAAGTGGCTGTGGTTCCTTCGATGACCACGGCGCCTGTGCGATGGCCGCGGGTTTGGTTCTTTCGCACCCGGCTGCGCGTGCCTGCCAATGTCGAGGTCGTCGTTGTCGAGAACGACGGTCCTCGTGGTGCCGCGGTCCAGAACCATTGGGGACTGCGATGGTCGTCTCGGTGGAAGCGTCGATGACACTCTGCGTGGTATTTCTGTTGCCGGTGCGATTGGTTCGGAAGGAATGTACAGGGGCGACATGAGGTCTTCCTTCGTTTCTTCCACCACCATTTCGGCAGCAGCAGCAGCAGCCGCCGCAAGCCTGTGGTCTTGGTGAATTCCGTCCGTTGATTCCTCGATGCTCACTCTGTTGATGAGCATGCGTCTGGCTTCTTGACTGACGCGGAAGGGATCGTTTCGAAACATTACTTTTTCGGCGGGGTTTTCGTCTTCGTCGTCGTCGAGGTTCCAGACCTTGATGCTGTCGTTTGCCATCATGAGTTCCTCGGGCATGTACAGCTGCTCGTTGTATTGGAGCAACTGCTTGAGTTCCCGAACGCCATTTGGATACGACGCGGTAACGTCGATCGCGACAGTCGCCGGCGAAGTCTTTCCCGGGTCGGGTGAAATGATATCAACCGGCATGGTTGTTGCCATTTTGGGTGTTGGGTGTTGCGTGTTGCGTGTGTTCTGTATTCTGTTTTGTTTTGGTGAAGAATTTGAGGCTTTCTGGCTCTCTTTTTCGTTGTTGTGTTCCGTTGCGGTTTGTTGCGTTGTGAGTTCTACGTTCTCGATCGATTCGTGTTGTGTGCTGTTGTGCTTTTTCCTGTTTGACTCTTTGCTGTTGATGATCTGTTGAAATGCTGTCGTGGGCAAGCTCGGTCTAGTTGTATCACGGAAACTTGTCGGGGGTTTCGGATTTATGAAAATTGTACGGCGCTCAAACGGCGGCGGCACACGGAATTTAGATCAGACGATTTGGTCGTACGTACCGGTAGTAGAAAAATTTCTCAATACGGAACGTATAGGAGTAGTCATTGTACAGCGCGTATGTAGTCGTATTCTCGCTCGAGATGTGAAAGCCGTGAAAACCCATAGTCGGCGAAGAGAAAAACTGTCCACGTGCACTGTTTCAACGAGTATGTTGAAGTCTGTTTGATAGGCCATATTGAAATTCTGTTGAGAGGCATAGTATTCCGTACAAACGAAAACTGTTCGACGAGACGAAAAACTGCCCGGGAACGGAGGGCCAGAAACAAACATCGCCGGTAATCGATTTGAACGGTCAGCCAGGCGGGAAAGCGGGATTTTTTCGAGGAGGGAATTCGTCAACGGCGAGCAATTTTGGCAAGACTGAGCCGTTGTCGTAGAAGGTACCTGGTACGTACAAAAAACAACAACGTTGGAGAATCGTTCATGGCGGATGAAAAGCGGCGGGAATCAGATCCTACGCACCGTATGCTCATTTTTGATTGGATATTAAATAACGGCTTTCAATCGTAGAAAATGAGTCCAAAGCAACAAGGTCGGTCATATTTTGAGAAATCGGAAGACCATGCAATGCAGACCAAACAAAGATCAGGGACCTACTCGGATTCGGAAGTACGAGTACGAATACTGTCCATGCTATAAGTGGCAGAATTGTCGCGATAAAAATGTTATTCATACGTAGTCTTACACTTCTATCATTCGCTTCTCGACAGCTGTTCAACATTTGGTCAAGATCAGGGATCTACTCGGATTCGGAAGTACGAGTACGAATACTGTCCATGCTATAAGTGGCAGAATTGTCGCGATAAAAATGTTATTCATACGTAGTCTTACATTGCTATCATTGGCTTCTCGACAGCTGTTCAACATTGCTGAACAATAATTATTGATGCCGTCCGCTGTCTCTATCTCTGGTGTTCGGATGGAAATGCAACGTAATCGTGGCGCATTCAGCATGATTACGTGTTGGTCTCTTTTTGTATTTGCCAAAATTCCTCCTCTCCGATGTATCAATTGCGATAAGCTACACCGTTTTCATCTAAAATATGCAGCAGCTGCTGTTGCTGTTGCTGCTGTCTACAAATGCTGCTGCCAATGCTGGCTGTTGCTGTTCCTGTTGCTGTTCCTGTTTTGAAATATCGGGTGCATCCAGCACAATCACCAGTGATAAGTGAGAGAGTAAAGCCACAAAATATGTCCTCTCCGATGTCTCCGATGTAATAACATACACCGTTTTCATGAAACGAATTCTTTCGTCTAAATCAATTTTCTTCTCAACGATGGAAGAGTACTTTGAATCATTGTTAGCGGTGATCTGTTTTCTGTTTCGAACGAGGCTCCAGAAGAGGTACGCCAGGACCATCCCCAGCATCACGAGCCACGAGCTGTGTCGGAGCACCTTCAGTAGTTGTCGGAGCACCGGCAGCAGCTGCTCGGACAAATTGCTGGATGAGACCATCTCCAGTAACTTTTTCAACACGCTGGACCACATGTTGTCCGTGAGCAACTCGTACAGCTGCCTGGCTAACCCACTTTCTCCGAAAACCGAAAGCGCCTCGAACCAGTGGTTTTTCAAAAGCCTATCCAGCACATTGGACCACCCGTTATGCGTGAGCACCTCCAGCAGCTTCTTGGACAATTCGACGGGTATCAACTTGAACCTCTTTATGATGCTCTCCCAGAACTTCGTTCCCAGCTGGTTCAACGTAATGTTTACGAAAGTCTTAAGTGCCTCGAGCCACTTGCCATCCTGGAGCTTCAACAGCACATCGGACCAATCTTTGTGCTGGAGCACCTTCGGCAACTTTAAGATTGGGACGTTCTGCAGAAATTCGAGCAAATTCTTCAGCAGCTGGAACAACCCACCTCCATGGAGTAACCACCGCAGAATCTTGGACCACCAGCCGTGTTGGCGCTCCGGACTCCTCTCATTTGACTCGGAGGGAACGACCACCAGCGCTAGCTCCCGCGAAACCTTCAGCTTCCGTGAAACGGGAACCACAACCACGCACACCGGGAGCGGTAGTTGGTCTTGTTTCAGGCAGTCCGACGAAACCAGCTTGGCGTACACAGAAGCCGGGTGGTGTTCCTGGATGATGGTGGCCATCTCGCTCGCAGTGCTGCCGACTTCCACCGCCACGATAGAACCGGCGCTCCGGAGGGCCTTCGGCATTTCGGACCATCCGCGGAGGGGCTGTGGCGGTTCCACCAATTGGAGCTCCCTCGGCTGTGGCCTGGGCCCGCCGACCGCCAGCGAGAGGGGTTTCCACGAGGGGCAAATAAATAATCTTTTAGGTCGTACGACATCGTACCGTACGGCCTGCACTGAATGGTACGTACTCGTACTTACCGTACGGTATCCAATATTATTGACTATTGATTACAGTACTTCAGTACTATTGCTTGTACGACCAATATTTATTATTAGGTTCCCGGAGAGGGACCGAACACAGTTGCTGTTGCCCTGGAGGACTCGTACGTGGTTACGGTAGGTGTTGTTCTCCCTGTCCCCGTATCCAGTGCTATTGTTGTTTCCTGTGTCGTTATTTTGCAGTTGTATGACTAGTTAGAATACTTTGAAGGACCTCTATTTTGGTGACAACCTGAACTCAAAATTAAACAGGGGTAAAAAATTTAGACCCCTGAAATTAAAGACGTACGTACCGCCCCAAAAAGTAAAAATGTTAACGGTACTTTACATACACAGGTACGTTCATACCCATACAGGTACGTTCATACCCAGATCGGTACGTTCATACCCAGATCGGTAC